TGTTACTCTAGCTCATAGCACCCACAGCTAGGTAAGGCTATTGATGACTTTTCCCATCCTCCAGCCTGCATAACATGTTCTGCTACTGTGAAAGCTTGTCACAAGACAGGGATTGACCCTCTTAGTACCAGCTTTATTTCTTCATGTCTGATGATAAAAATATATGGTGGTGTCTTCAGCAATAGGGTCTTGCCATGACATTCTAGTGAGCAACCAAAAACAATGGTAATAGACTGTATTGTTTTATGGGTCTCTAGAACCCTCATGATCAACAGCTCAAGGTGTGTTATCTCAGACCTGGCATGGGCTTTTCTACTTGGGAACTTATGCTTCTGTTAGGAGCATTGTCTCCTGTGTTAAGATATCTCCAATTAAATTTTTATATGAAACACACACACACACACACACACACACACACACACACACACACACACACAGTATAAAATAGTAGGTTTCCGTAAGTTCTTTTCAAACATCTTAACATTAGTTATCTCTCCTCCCACAGCCTCTTCTTTCCTTCTCTACTATCTATCTCCCTAAACATCGGTCCCCATTTTTTCTTCTTTCCACTTCATACCATCTGTGTTGTATACTTGATTTTATTTATTTGTGCATGTTCATGAGTGAATGTATACATGCACACCCATGTTCCTGTGTTCTCATACCCTGAAATCATCCATTAGTGAGATGGACTAGTGAGTTCAGATCTGTATTTATCCTCACTCTAAGCAGAATTGAACACACCTACACTTACATGTGCAGTAGATGCTGATATGAATTCTGTTTTTTACAGAATAATAATACATAGTTGTAGTCAAAAGTTTCTCCAGTCCTGCCCAGCCTTGCGGTCCTGCAGCTGCTTATAACATAATCACTCAGAGGCTTATATTAATTATAAACTGTATGGACTATGGCCCAAGCTTCTTGCTAGCTAGCTCTTATAACTTAATTCAACCCATTCCTATTATTCTCTGTTTTGCTATGTGGCTTCATGGCTTACCAGTACTTTCACATCTTGCTTCTCTTGGCGGCCGCTCACAGCATCTCCCTGTCTCCACCTTTCTTCCTCTGTATCTTCAGTTTGAATGTACCACCTAACCTTATTCTGCCTCACCATTGGCTAAACAGCTTTATTTATTAACCAATCAGAGCAACACATATTCACAGCATACGGAAGGACCTTCCACAGCACATAATATTATGTATGATATATACAGTGATATAAAATTCTGCTGCTTCTTGAGAAACAACTAGTTGCCAATGAATAGAGATCATATTCCATGTATCAGGTACTATACAGCATGCTGTATCTAGAAACGGGGCAACACAAACAGAGTCCTAATTAAGAAGTCAAAGACTTGCAACAGGACTCCCAACAGCAACACTTACCAACCAGGTCCTCTCAACCCAGTCCTCATGTATTGAGTGGTCAGAAACATTACTCACACTGATTGCCCTGGTGACAATGAGGTGTGTGAAGGTGCTCTGCAGATCACGCTAGGTATATGTCCAATGCTGTTCCTCTGAGCCTTCCCTTCAGTTCCCCTAAAGTGCCACTCAGAGAACCTTGCTTCTATGGCCCTCAACAGCATGTTCAAGATGCAGCTTCTGCTTAGAAAAACTGACAGACCTGATTGCATAGCTTGAGTAGTTCAGCTGGAAATATTAATGTCTCTCTCCATTGGGGAGTTGGGAGGAAGCAGACCATGTGATCAGAAAGTCCAAGATTTCTACTGGGGTGCAACGAGTTTTAAGGACACCACTATCTGCTATACTCAGGTAGGAAGGTACATTGTGGATTAATAAGATTCAGCCCTGAATTTTAATAACGAGCCCAACAAATGTGCAGACCTCCAGGCAGAATAATTGAAAGAAAACTATCTAAGTCAGACTTAGTTCATGTAACACATTTGTAGTCTCTCTTCTGGTGGTAAGGGTGGGGGAAAACCTTCGGTTAACAAGTTAATGACACCTGCCTGCTGTGCCTTTAATCACCCTGCACATGTCTAGCAGAGTGACACAGATGCAGATCCCCTGGCTCTCTGCACAGGGTGGCACAGCTGTCTCCCCTAGTTTTCCTGATTAGAGGAACACAGCTTCCCAGGGCCAGTGAAGCTGATACTACTCTCTAAGGGTGAATCTTTTAAGCTGCAAATCATACTCCAGTATGTCAATGTGAAGAAATGGAAGCTTAAAGGTATGAAATGATGTGTCTAAGACCACAGATTAGAATAGGGCAATAGGAGAAAAACACTGGTGCTTCCAGCCAGAAAACTATGTCCATTCCAGGATTCAGTGCAGCTCAGTTTCCCTTTGACCTCTGACCTCTTCCACTCTCACTCATTCCTCTTTATGTTCTTTGACCATCCGGATCTCTGTTTTCTCTCCTTCCCTTCTTCCTTCCCTCTTTTCTTCCTTCCCTTCCTTCCTCCCTCTCCCCTCCTCTTCTTCTCCTACTTCCTCTCTCTCTTCTCCTTCTTCTTCCTCTACCTCTCTCCTTCCTCTCTCATCTCTCTCTCTATTTCTCTCTCTATTTCTCTCTCTCTCTCTCTCTCTCTCTCTCTCTCTCTCTCTCTCTCTCTCTCAGTCTCCCTCTTCTCCTCTCCTTCCATCTTTTCTCTCTCCCTTCTTCATTTTTTCTCCTCTATCCATATAGGCTGACTGAGCAGAAGCTTTATTGGTGTATACTTCTGAGAGCCCTACAGGCAAGGATTCGGAGCAACCTTGGTCCTTCTCACTGCCTAAGCTCTCCAACTACCACAAATGCAGAGTTTTTCATGGTGTGTCTAGCCTTATCTGACAAGTCTTTCCTGAGCTGCCCCTGAAACAGAGAGACATGAGAAAAAAGGAAATTTCCTAACAAAGGGTAAACATGTGAAATAAACTCAGGGATTGGCAAAGGTGATGGGTAGATAAAGGGCCAACATTTAAAACTTGGGCGATAGTGTTTATTTTTGTTTTAAACACAATATCTGGATTCCTCACTTACTCTGAAATTTTCAACAGCCAGTGCTGAAGCCTTCTCCCTCTGGTGGCAATCAGCCATGGCCTGTGGCTGCAGAGCATCCTAGCAGGACATGGACTTTGTCTTTGCTGACCGTGCTGCTTTCCTTCTGTTCAGGGCTCACTCTCGGTAAGAATTCTGACTTTCTGGGAGCCTCTTGCCTAGCATCTTTGACCTCGCTCATTTTACCTAGCACATGCTGTTAGGTGCCTTAGCGTTCTGTGATGTTTGTTCCATGATGTTTGTTGGAGAAAGTGAAGTACTCACCAGACAGGCCCCCTGGCTCAAGCCCTCGGTCTCCAGTTCCTGTGTTCCGAAGAGATGGGACCAGAGTAGGTCAGCTCTGCTACCTCCCCATTATCCTTCCTTGGATGAGATGCCCTAGTCATTGGTCCTTAATATGAATCATTTAGGTTAGGAATTGAGGCTCCCAGCAAGGAAGCCACCTTCAGCCCTCGAAGAGAAAGGTGTAGTGTGGAAGGCCTGTTGTCCCAACCTGAAGTTCTGGGTCTGGGGTTGGGAAAGGCTACTTTCTCTGTTATAAATATGAAGAAGGCGACATTTGAAAAGTCACTCTACTGAGCTCCTATCTGGTGCTCATGAATGGTGATGACCCAGAAGCTATCATGGGGAACTCAGGCACCCTGAGGCATCAAAGCTGGGAGACTCAGGAGGATAAAACAAGTGAGGTGGTGGGGTCTCTTGTCCAGCACATACCCTGTGTCGGCCCATCATTAGTAAGATGTCTTGTGTTGTCAACCATTTCCTTTATTCCCTGGATAACACTTTCCTCCAGCCTTGTCCCCACTAGGCCCCTAAGAAGAAGACAAGAAGAGAACCATTGTGCTTCTCCCAGTAAAGAGCCAGGACATGAGTATTTTCACCACTCACCATTATCCTTATTGGGTTTTTAACAGTCTTTCTTTAGCACATGACATGAGGCTTTCACTATTTTCACATATGTCCTGTAGTTTGTTCATATCCACACCCTACTGTCTTCTCTTTCTTTCTCCTTCTCCCCATTTCTGCTGGACCCTTCCTCTTCCCTCATAGGCCCCTTTCTAATTCTGTAGCCTTTGAAAAAGCTTCAATTCTACATGTGAGGGAAAACATAGTGTATTTGTCCTTTGAAGTGTGGCTCTTTTTTTTATCCTAACGTGATAATCTCTGGTTCCATCCACTTTCCAGCAAATTACATGATTTTACCATTCTTTAAGGCTGAATAAAACCCCATTGTGTCCATAAACACATTTTCTTTATCACCTATTGATGAGGATGTAGGCTGGTTCCATATCTTGGCTATGCTGAATAATGCTGAAATAGACGTGAAGAAGATACCTGCTTCCCTGTGTTATGCTGCCTTAAAATCCTTATTTTTGCTTCTTCTTGATTTCCATAGTGACAGAATAATGCTGTCCTAGTTACTTTTCTGGTGCTGGGATAAAATACTCGGATAAAAGCAACTTAAGGGAGAGGGGGCTTATTTCTACTCATGGTTCCAGGTACAGTCCATCATGGCAGGAAGAAGCCATAGCATCAGGAACTTGAGATAGTTGGTCACATTGCATCCACCATGAGGAAGTGGGGGCCAATGAGTCCCAGTGCCCAGCTCACTTCCTCTTGTTATACAGACCAGTATGCCAGCTCAGGGAATGGTATTGCTCACAGTGGGCACATCTTCCCACCTGTAATACCTGATCAATTACCCACATCCTGATGCTCAGAAGCTCCATCTCTCAGATGATTCTAGATCTCATTGAGTTGACAATTGAGATTACCCATCACATACTCACCATTTCCTGTTACTCAGATATAGCAGAGGAGACAAGGACAACATCAGTATAATTATTAGTATTAAAAAAGATATTTGTAATTAGCACCAGCCATACCATGTTGAGTCATATATATTGTCATATTCACTGTGACCTTGCATCAATGATATGTTCCCCCATTGGTAGGTGGGTAAAGTAAAGTCCAGAAAGGTTGAATAACTCACCCTGTGTCCCAAAAGCTTGTTTACAATTGTTTCTCTCTGTGTAAAGAGGAGAAATGCAGAGACCTTTGACCAGGTATGGCCTCTGTCTCACCTAGAAGATAGAGGAGATAATTAAGATAGAGTCTTATGGCCATTGAAGAAAACCTCTCTAAGAAGGGGGCATTAAGCAGGCCCTGATGGAGCTGTCATAATCTAGCCACACAGTGAGGGGTGACACAGGTTGTTCCTAAGAAAGTGGCTCTATTATGAGCTCTTCATTATAGATGTTCTATGCCCTCTGTAATTGTGGGTGTGTGATTTTTCACGAGTCACCAATCCTTTCTAGTGTCCAATTTCCTCATCTGCTAGGGACAGGGGCTGAGTTAGAGGCAGTACAAGGGCCTGTGATTTCAGTGTTATCTGGGCACTGGCTCAGAACAACCCCTGGGGATTTTCCATTTGTCAAAAAGGAGAAAAAGAAATCAGGCCCAAAGCGATGGTAATATTTTTAGATTGTGTTGCTTTCTGCAGGCTTCTTGGTTAGCTTAAATGTGGGCTTTGGGACAGGGCAGTGACATAAAGGAGCTAAAGAAGCCAGGGTGAAAGAGCTCCTTGACCCTGAAAAGCAGGGGTGACACAGCTCACAGGCACAGCAGGGCGTGGGCAGCTATGTGGTGGTGGTGGTGGCTAAAAGGTCTTAATGGATGGTACTCTCTCCTGCTTCATAATTATGGGATGCTTTCCTGTCTATCACGTGTGGGTCTCACAGCAGCACCGAGGAATCACTGCTCTCCTGCTTTATCCACTGCTCTGCCAGTGTAGATGTGAGTCTGTCCAGGAAGACTAAAAACTACCTCCCTGGGATCATTGTGCTTTAGTCCACACAAAGGCAAATAAGTCTGGAACATGGGGTTTGGGAACAAATTCAGAAAACACCCCTCTCAGTTACTTCTTGGTAGAGATGGGGAAACTGAGGCTTAGAGAGGTAAGAGGAATGGATGAGGTTATTAGCAGGTAAGCCCTTGCTGGACCTCGGTGTCCTAATAGTCATGCAAATGAGCAGGTGTTCAGGGAGCCTTTCTCACTGGGCCCCCATGTATAATCCCAGTCCAAACTTGGTGTATAAGGGTGGGATGTTCTGTCCCTGGATACCCAGGGAGATGAAAAGTCCTGTGGGTGGCCTCTTCCGTGTGGAGGTTGAAAGAGTGTGATGTGGAGAATGAGTCTAGGTCTGAGTCAAGCAGGAACACTCAAAGAAGAAATGCTAAGGCTCAAATTCAAGGCAGAAGGTGAAGCCAGAAAACTGAGATACGTACCAAGGCAGCTCCAGATGTGAAGGTATGAAGGTAGACTGAGACCTGGCCAAAAGGACAGGTTCAGGGATCCAAGATGGCTACCATTGGGCTGTTTAAACCGTTGCTTTTCTTCCATTTCCCTGTGTCTTCCAGGCTCTCTCTTCTTTTCTTCCTCCCATTCTTTCTTTCCCTCATTTTTCAAATACTCACCACAGGGTCTGAGATTTACTTTGCTTGGAGACTGAGATTTCTTTTCATTAAACCCTCCACTTTCACTATTAAAAAACCATATTTTTATATATTTTGAGACAGTGTCTCACTATATATCCATGGCCAGCCTGGAAATCACTATATTGACTAGGCTGTCCTTCGACTCACAGAGACCTGTCTACCTATCCCCAAAAGTCCTGGGACTAAAGATGTGCACCACCATGCCAGGCTCCTTTCTCTCTTAGCAATGGACTAAGGTGTATAGGAAAGGAGTCTTTAGATACCAATGTTGGAAAAAATAGGCAAAGGATAGAGAATTCGGTCAGAAAAGCTAGTTTGTTAGCTCATTCATTCCTTAATTCATTGACACTCAGGCCTAGCTGTTTTGGAACCTTAGGGTTGTCTGGGACGAGTAACCTGTGAGGAGTACCAGTGGTATTTAAACAGGAAATTTTCCCGCCAGACTAGAGCCCACTTCAGTTCTGCACTGGACCTGGTCTCCCCAGCTTTGTGGATGGATTTCCTGATGGCCTTTATTAATCAGTCTTGGCATTGACACTGTTCACCTGTTCTGACCTTTGGCTAATGTCACCCTGAATGCAATGGGCCGCAGAGTCCCCACAATGGTTCTGAGTTAGGATAAACTGGGATCTCAAAGAAAGAAGTATGTGATAACAGGGCGACCAGGCCAGACAGAAGTTACAGGGTATGACAGGCTGGCCTCGCAATGCACAGGAAAGAGAAAAGAGTGTGACTTAGTTATGTCCCTGCCAGGGGATCATGAAATGGAGTTTAGATGGGAGAGCTAAAAGATTTCAGCCCAGAGTCAGGTACAGTGTCTTTTGGACAACACCCTAAACACTTCATCAGTGTTTGGCAATGTTTAAGGCCCCAGCTTGGCTCAGTCTGGTAGTTGGTCTCTGAGCAATACAGCATTCCACTGAGTTCGGGACTTGGGAAAGAAGTAGAAGGATCTGAAAGACCCTCTAGATACTCAGTCATACCAGAGGTTGGAATTGTGCCTCAATGTGGCTCTCTCGCTCACAATTCACTGACTGAGCACTGGCAAAGTGTTTTATTTCCTACTGAATACCACATTGAAGAAGAAAGCAGCAATTTTTCATTCTCATTGGTCTTACAATGCTCAAGAGAACAGGGTAGCCTCAAACTCTACTTTGCAATTGATCAGGTTGGCTTTAGTTAATTATCTGATCAGTCATTAGTTGCCAATTGTCTGGGGACTCCCATCAGAGTCTCACTGCTTTCTAACTTCTCATTAACTGGAGGAATTCACTGCTGTTCGTATGTCCTTCTGGGCTTTCCATTCTACAATAGTCCTCAGTCTTTTATGAAGATGTTCAGTAGGACAAATGTTGTCTCTGATCCTTGAGGAACTCAGCTCATTATGTGTCCCCACCCTCTGAAGAGCCTGTTTGTTTCTCCTCTGTTCCTGGCTTCCAGGCAGATTCTGTGGTCATGGAAAAATGCACACGCACATCCAACAGTCCCATGGAGATGCAGTATTTCTGAGCAGCTTTTGATATGGAAACTTGTCAAAGATTTTCTTTCTTTCTTTCAAGTCTGATTAAATTATTTCCACAGATGACTACAGCCAAATGAGTGTGTGCTGCCACAAAGAGCACTAATGAATTAGCTGTGCATGACTGAGACCACATGGTCTTTTATACCAGGAGATCCTTCATTACTCAGCACACACTTGCTGCTTGTGTGACACAGCCTGAGAGTGCAGCATTAGGTCACTGTAAATAGCAGTAGTGAAAAGACCAGAATCAGCACAAGACACCCCAAGACCAAGTGTTCAACATAAAGGAGATTTATTTGCTTCAGGGAGACAGAGGGCAGGGAGTAAGAAAGAGAAAAAGACAAGAGATAGAGAGTGAGAGAGAAAGGGGAAGGTACAAGGGTGAGGGGAAGAAGGGATATTTGCCCTGGAGGGACAAAGGACTGCCTGTAGATGGAGAGGAGACAGATGTGGTCCATAGGCAAGTGGCCGTTTTTAAAGGGAAATGGGGAAACTCTGTGTTAAGATGATTTGGTGAATTTTGATGGGGCATGCTAATTAGGGTAACCACAAGGGCGATTTTGATTACTGGCTTTCAATACTTTGATAGCTGGACCTTGGTAGTCAGCCTCAGGAGAAGGAGGTGGCCTAATAAGGGAATAGACCTCGGTGGCCAGCTTTAGGAATGCAATCTAATTGTTTAACAAGGTAGAGGGAATGAAGGGGAAGGGTAGAAAGAAAAAGATGTCAGCAACATGTTTGCCATGATTAGGCCTGCCAGAGCCCTTCACTGATTCTCACCTACTTCCATACTTCTACATCTCCACATCTTTCTTCTTCTAGCTCTCCCTGACCCCCACCCACCATCTTGGTGACCCGTTAGCATCAGGGCGCAATCAATACCAAAAGGCAGGTGGCTGTAAGAGTCCTGACCAGATACTGTAGAACTTGACATGCTTTTAACTGTGTTGTCTGAAATTCATGTAGAACTTGTAAATGACAGAAAACCTGGTTTAGTTTGTGTACTCAGATAAGAATTTATAGGCTTAGGAACGTGAAAAGGACAAATTATTCTAGCTTCAAGTAGCTTGACTTAGGGACTCAAATATTGTCATCAGGACCTCTTTCTCAATTTTCATTTCAATGCAGGGCTTAAATATCCATGTTGCCATCATCCTCTGGTCTGTTCCAATCTGGAATGGCTAAAGGCAGCCAACAGCTTCAGTCTCAGATTCTCTCACCTGTTAGTCTAATTGGGTAATGAAACTGTGCCTCTATCTCGTCTTTCCTTTTCCCCTCCTAGTTATTCTCTACAAAATTCTTCAGATTCCATGATTGAACTGGCCCAGGTCACATGCTCATCAAAAATAGATCATTTTCAGCCCAGCAGGGTAAAGATTTGGCAAGGCAGGGTCATGTGCATGTGCTTTGCCTTCTGGACTTGACTATAGAGTTCTACCTGCAATGTATGGGGGGAAAATGAAGGGAAAGCTTAAAGAACACTGAGTACCTACAAAAACATGTTTAACATCCCTGGGATCTTTTACTTCTTATCTTTGATATGGGTACTAGCCTTTTTATAGTGCTTCGTATAATGATTGACTTACATTGAACACTGGTATCTTCTCGTTTGCATATCTGCCTTGATATCTCCTTGGCAGCTGTCAGTCAAATGAAGAGTTGCTTTATTATAACCATTTCATTTTGTCATCAAGGATGGGATGGTTGTACTGAGCTTTGAATAGGTACCCTCCAATAGACTCCGTTGATGACAAATTGCCTTGGTGTTCAAATCATCTTTCTTACCAGGCACTACCTGCATATGCTGTTGGGATACTCTTGTTCCTATTGTGATTCCCTCCTGGAGTGGTTTTCATCTTTCCAGAGTCCCTGTTTGGTCTGACTGCCTCTTGCAGTGCTAGATCTGAAAATTTTTTCAACCTCTCATCTTCACCACCTACTCCATCCATCCTCAGCTGAGACAAAACAAATAGAAATCACAGAGGTTGACTATTCACAGGACCATGTTAGCTGGCATTGGCAGTGGTATTGGGAGTCACCTGCCATAGCTCCTCTTCTGCAGGAACAGTCCAGTTGAGTGATCTGAGATAGAAAGGATTCTTTGGAAGTCAGTGATGAATCTACAGAATTCTGCAAAACCATGGGAAACTGGCAACTACAGTAAATCAGAACCTCTTTGTTGACAATTAGCCAATTAGTGTCCTCTACACTGGCAGCGAAACTAAATTAAAGCACTATCACGGTGTACTTTCAAGATGTAATGGGACTAAATGAATCTTAGGCATTCATTCATAAGTTACTTACTGAAACCATAGAAAGCTGAGTGACTGATGTAAACAGGTAAGTGGAGAAGTGTCCATACATGCTAATTTATGTACTACCGTGAGCAGGTAAACACAAACCTCTTTTCAAAGAACCAGCCACTGCTCATCTTCCAATGGTACCTCATGTGTCTCTTCTATCCAAGTCATCCACTCTTTGAAGAGGTGATGGAAATTTTGACTTTCAAACTAAGATCAATTTTCTATGACTGAGGTGACCATCAAATTCAATTGAAAAATGGCTGCTGGCACTATCCAGTAACCAAGCAGGGTCAGTTCTCCTTGCTTAAAACATTATCCAAGAGAATACAGAATGCCTTTCATATTCTCATATTCAAAGCATGTACTACTTGAATGGACACAGTGGGTATTTGTCCTTTTCTAAGCCTCTGTCATGTCTGCCAAAGGCTAATTTTCTCCTTCACATAGTTCACACAGAGCAAGCACTTTGCTGGGGACAGACATAGTTCTAATTTTTCTACAAAGATTAGCTTAGCCTTCTGGGGGAAGGAACCATCATAGTCACTGAACTGGAATTGCCTTTGGCTGTAAGGCACACAGTTGTCAAGTCTAACTATAACATCAATTCTGTAGTGCATCCTGACATCAGAGAGACTGAGAAGTGTGATATTAAGATCCATAAATTGCATAGATATTCTTCTCCCTTCACTTTGAATATTCAGATCCTAGGAATCCAGGTCAGGGGTTATATGTAATTTACAGACCTATCCAGAATTTGAGAGAAAATCTAAGCCCAGGCCACATGATTTCAGAGCCCACACTCCTAATCACCTCATTAAACTTTTCTCCGTGAACTGATAGACTGCATTTCAGGAAGAATCATCTATAACCTCCATTATATGGCCTTCAGGGCTCAAGTGGTCACTTGACACTGTTCATTTTCGAGGTAATGGAAGGAAATTATAGAATAAATGCAAAACCCTGAAAAATATCCCATTAAAAATCATATCCAATGCATGAGCTATAATTTGACATTTTAGGATTTTGTTTTGCTCTCAACA